GTTTGCGACTGTGTCAGGCCAAAACAGAGCAGGTCTAAAAGCAGGTCACTTCAAGGGCACAAAAAAGGTATTTTGGCGAGTTACATGACAAGTAGTAGATACCGGGCCTATGAAAGTATGGATGTTTTGATCTGGTTTTAGACTTCTGAAATGTCTTGACTTGGCGGGAAGGTGCATTCCGTGTCACAACAGTATAGTTACCCACAATGCATTGCAAGATGTATGTGAAAATAAAGGCTGCTGTTAGCCAGGAACCAGAACAAGCAAAGTCAAGACTATAGCATATTTGAGGAAACGAATGACCCGTTAAATTGCTCTGTCTCTGCACCATATTTAAACAAACTTTTTGGTCCATATTGAGGGTACCATACCACCTTAAGTCAGCCATACCAGTTCTGTCGAGTGCTGTGCATTGACAGATGAGTAAAGATGTCTTCTCCATGGTAACAAAGGACACCACTTTTCCACCTGAGGAATATGAAATAATATAAAGCGAATAATTCTTTAAAAGTGGGATATCATTAGAAAGCAACCTTATTTAGGTTACTACGAGCTGCCCATATGTCAGTGACACACGCCCTTGTAAAAGCGTCAAGCATGATGGTAAATACATATTTTCCTCTTTAGACATGCTGTATTTATAATGTGCTGTGTTTACCTCACTAAAGAATATGAGCAAGCTACAGTCGTCTCTGGGATCAATTCCATGACGGTCCACGTAACATTTTCGGTCAGAAGACCACATGAGCCTCATCCACTGAAAAAATTTTAAAAAAAATTAAACAATTACAATTTAAACGATTAACTGTTTTGTGGGTAGCAGGAGGCTTGTTATTTTAGCTAACAGGTTATTAGGAGTGTAACTACAGCAGTTAAGTTGGGCGCGCACGATGAACAACACTTACGGCGGCGCGCGCTTCCGCAACAAATTTTGCACACGCAACATTGATAATGTTTTTTGAATTGCTCCGTAGGGTAATCATTGAATTATGAATGTCCAAACAAATGTTGTTGTTTTGTTTTTTTTTTTTTACTGTTTTTATGGCTTTGTTTGTGATTTTCTTGAATTTCCTTCAGTGAAATCTTCCAACATTTTTACAGTATATTGCTTCCAGGGGGATACGAATTTTAAACACGAAAAAAGTATTGTTTGTAAAGGCAGTTTTTTCGATTTTTTCAATTTTATGTCTTTTACCGCTTCAAAAACCCTGGTCTTATAGATTTCCCAGCAAAGCGAGCTCCGACTAAAGTAAAAGATTTACTATCAATCTGCCAAATTTATCGGGATTTCACCGAAGGAAACGCAAGAAAATTCACTGTCAGTTTTGCTTTTTGCGCTCATGTTGACGCCATAAAATATTCAAAAACGCTGACGGTTTCCTTCGAGCGCGTGCAGATTACTTGAGCTTTCGTCCTCAGCACGCGCGCGATCGTAAAACTATAGGGAGCCACCTTAAGCTGATTTACTCGCAGTTACTATAGTTTGTAGCCTTAAGAATACTATTTTAGTTGTTGGAAGTTTCTTTAAATGTGTATTCAGTTATTTAAGGCTTTTTCCTGCGCGTATTTGTTACGCGTGTACGCTACTTTTGTTTCTAAATCTTTCACGTAAGTTCTAGTTCTAGGTTTTTCATTAGCAAGATCAATTGACGCAGGATCTTTCAATTTACCGCAAGAGCATAAGTTTCTCCAAGTCTATTATTAAACATTCGTTGTTATTGTTATTATTGTTTATCCTTGTTCTGGTGATTAAGGCAGCGCCAAGTTCTCGCGGGTGTTTATAAATATAAAGGTTTTAAGAATTTAAATAAACAGCAGTTTGGGAACGTTGAACTTAATCACTGGAGCAATAAGGGGTCAGGTTGATAGCCGAGTTAGTACATTGGCAAGCATAGGTTGAACGTATGAAAATAGGTTACTAGCTATGTAGGTAGGTCAGGCTGGGTAGGTAAGTACATGTAGGGAGGTATAGTGTGGGTAGTATGCATAGGAACGTGTCCGGATAAGTAGATAGGAGTCGGCATATAGTTAAGAAGGTTGGTAAGTGAGGATTAGTAGCAGGGTGGGTTGGGTAGGTAAGTAGATAGGTAGGCAGGAGGTAAGTAGGTGTAGGTAGGTAGGAAGGTAACCAGCAGGCTGGTAGGTAGAAAAGTAAAGGACATTTATCTCCCGAGTTTTTAAACTCTGCACAGTCTTCCATCTCTCGCTAGACTAAGCAGCACTTATTACTTCATTCTTTAGTTTACCTCGACCTTGTATTTACATAGTGGATATAACCAGTCGCCAGGAATGGTACAGTTTTTTACCCGCGGAGCGTGGAACAGTCTCTCGTGTAGCGATACACCCAGTTCGTTAGCTGTTTCTTTTGTTTCAAAACTCCACAATTCTGCAAGCCAAACAGAGGAATGTTAATAATGTGTTATCGTCTGTCCAATGGTCCATCTTAGATTTGAGTTCCAATGAACCTTGGTAAAAATTATTTTGTTTATTTGATGATCCATTTGACACTAAATGAAGTGATCTGTGTCGAGGGTAACGGTAAATTTTCAGTTTCCCAAAAATCAATTTTATTTCTTGAGGCGGAGCAGATGGAAGCCGGCCGGATATTCGAGAGAAATAACCGTTTTCCTCTGGGAAAGACATAAATAGACACCATGGATGTTTTCCATTATGCCAGACCGACCGGTCAGAGACCAGCGGGACTAACCGAGAAAATTGGAAGGACATTTTCGAATCAAACCGGGCCAGCCAAGAGGAATGGCTCTTACCATGTTTTATTCCTTTTTCGAATTCTCTACATAAGTGAAGAGAAGTAGGGCAATGAACAGGTTCCTTTGGGGTGATCTGAATCAGGATCAGTGATCCAAGATCACTCGGATCATGGTGCATAAAAGGAACCGACGAATCCACTCTGGTTACACGACGGATTCATCGGTTCCTTTGATGAACTATGATCCGAATGATCTTGGATCACTGATCCTGATTCAGATCACCCCAAAGGAACGCACCCCAAATAAATCTACCTATTTTCACGAATTTCCGTTATCAATAAGTGAAAATCACTTTATCTACACCGACTTTAATCACTTCCAAATTTTATCTGGATGGACTACTCCGGGACAATTGGCACCGCACGTGTAAACCAGCTGGGATTTCAGTGCGATTCTAATGTGATATATCGCCGCGATATCGCAGGAGTTTCGAACCCGCTCGAAGCCTGACCCAGTTTCGCGACGTTTGGCTATTAAAAAGGTAACAACCATGACCCAGGAGGGACCCCTCGGAAGGTTCTTTTTTCTGCGACGCGAGACTGAACATAGCCTACGGACGCAGACGTATTTCCGGCTGTCACTTGGTTCCGCCGAAAAATAACGTCTGCGAACCCGAGCCAGGGAAAGATTTCTGTGACGTAATGACTTTTGTTTCTCCTTGGCCAATCAGATTCCATGATAGAAT